AGCTCATTCTAAAATTTATATGGAAATGAAAAGCATTTAGCCAAAACAACTGTCAAAAAATAAAACTGGAGGGGTTACAGAACTACGTGGACTTACTACAGCACTAGGAATGTAGCTCAGTGGTACAGCACTTAGCTAGCATGCATAAGGCCCTAGGTTTGATCTCCAGTAAAAAAAAAAAAATCTGATGCAAGTATTGATAAATGGTTCAAGTGGAACAGATGTAGAAACAAATCCAACTGTATGATCCTTCATTTTTCAACAAACTCCTCACTGAAATTCAATGGAAAGAGAAAGGTGGATTTTTTTTTTTTGCAATAAATGTGTAAAGCAGTTGTTTGTCCGTATGGAAAATAAATCTGGATCCCCACCTCACACTGACAAACACACACCAAAAAACACAACTGGTAACACCATAGACTCAACTGTGACAATTGAAACTAAAGCTTCTAGAGGAAATCAGAGGCTAATGTTCTCAGGACCTTGAGGGGAAGGTGAGGGTGGATAAAAGTTTTGTGAGCAGGATGTGAAAAAGCACTAAACTCCCCAGTCCCTTACCTATTCTCTTAAAACCCCAAAAAGCTGGACTTTGTAGAAATAATTCTGCTCATTAGAAGGCACCATTAAGAAACTAAATAGGGAAGGGGTCTTAGCTCAGCGATGGAGTGATAGCATAGATGAAGTCCTGGTTTCAATCCCCTGGACAGACAGACAGATGGACAGATGGATGGACAGAAAGAGACAGAGACAGAGACAGACAGAGAGAGAGAAAGAGAGAGAGAGAGAGAGAGAGAGAGAGGGAGAGAGATTTGCAAACAAGTTCCCTACCTAGACTATATTAGGAACTAAAAACTATTAACAGTAAAAATCTCTAATTTAAAAATTGGTAAAATATTTGAACAGGTACTTTATAAAAGAAATCTACAAAGCCAATAAAGATACAAAAAAGGGCTCAACATAATTAATGTTCACGGAAATGCAACCATTCTACCCACAGACCATAAATTCAGGTTTCTTATACAGACCGAGTCTCTCATCCAAAGTGCTTGGGACTTTGGGGTTTTTATTTTTGAAATATTTGCATATATGTGATGAAGTTTCTTGGAGACAGGACTGAAGTCTGAACACAAAATCCATTCCAATTATGTGTCATATACACTTGATTCACATAACCTGAAGGTAGCTTTGTGTATTATTTTTAGCACACCTTCATTTTGACTGTGATCTATCACATGAGGTCAGGTGTGAAATTTCCCACTTGTGACATATTGGTGTAAAAAAGTTTAGATCTGGTGCGGTGGCACACTTTGGTGACCCCCTACTGGAGAGACTGAGGCAGGAGGACAAGAGTTTGACAGATTAGCAGAGCCCTTTCTCAAAACAGAATGATAAAATAAAAAGAGCTGGGAATGCAGCTCACTGGTAAGGACTTGCCTAGCATGCATGAGGCCCTGAGTTCAATCCCCAGTACCACCAAATAATAATAATAATAATAATAATAATAATAATAATAATAATAAACAACATCTGGAGCATTTCAGAAAGACTATGGATTTTTGGATCAGGGATACTCAACCTATGGCCAGGAAATATATGCCTACCAAGGAAAGCTTTTTAAACAAATATTTGCAGACATTTATAATGGCCCAACATTGCAAATGACAGAAATAATCATCAGCAAGAGAATGGAGAGCTGGGCATGTAGCTCAGGGCAGGGGGCTGGCTCAGCATGCATGAGAGCCTAGGTTCAATCTCCCCATATCCAGGGGGTGGGGGAGGGGAAGGATGGATGAGTAAATTGTCAGTACATCACAGAAGGCAACATTATGGAAGAGCAGGGAGAAACTGTCACATTGTGAAAACTTCAGGCTCTATGGCTCATATGGTCTCTGTAAAACTACTTAACTATATGGAACAGGCTGGAATTGGCTTACAGATCATAGTTTGCCAACCATTAAAATAAGGCAAACAAATACACAAACAAAAAAACTTACATATGCAACATGATGAAGTTCAAAAATACAATGTAGCAAGAGAATAAAATGCAAGATTCCATTTATATGAAGTTCAAGAACATCTGAAAATAATCTGTGGCAATCAAAGGCAGGGCAATCGTTGACAGGGGGAGAGAGGCTCTATTGTGGGAAGCAGCGGTGGAAACTTTTGCAGGAGAGTAAATGTTTTACAGTTATTTATCTGGGTGGTGATCACACACGTTCATAAATATGTAAATCTCATCAAGGCACACACTTTAGTGTTTTGTGTACGTATATTATAGCTTTGGAGAAAAATGCAAATTAGACAAAGATCAGAACATGAATGAAGAAATCATCTACAATTCAACCTGGATATAAAATATAAAAGCTAGATAAAGAACATAGATGATAGACAATCTAACAAAACTCTAATCATAGGTCCTAATGAACAGAAAAATGAGCGAGGCAAGAGACAAAGGATAAAACTTTCCTAAATCGATGAAAGACAAACCTTAGCGATACATATCATTCACACACACACACTCACACACACACAATCTATACCTTACCCAGAAAGTCTTTGAGTATACATTCTTCTTGATCATACAAAAAGCAACTGAGACTATAAAACAACCCTCAAATTTCAAAGAATCAGTACAGACACATTTGCTAGCTACAGTGCAAATGAGAAATCAGTAACAAAAAGACAACTCAAAAACCATCCACACTGGAATGAATGACTATTTCTAAAAATCTTACAGGGCAAGAAAATATGACAATGAAAACATTTAAATTCTTAAACAACATACTACATATAAAGCAACACTAAATGAAAGCCTAGTATTTTTGGATGGCAAATGGGGTACAGCATCCAGAAATAAGCCCTATCATATCTGGGCACTTTATATGACAGAAGTGGTACCACAAGTCACCAGCAGTAGGACAATGACTTTTTCCACATGAGAAAAAGAAAATGAATTAATTGACTTCACAACATAAATAAAATGTACACATTTACATCCACACACATAAACACACATCTCAGGTAAAGAAAAACATGAACAAAACCCAAACTTCAAAACCTGGGGACATAACTTTAGAATATATTTCATCAAAGATAGAGAAGACTGCTTTACTAAGATGCAAAAGGCACAAAACAAAGATTAATGTCTGCATTTATCATCTGTAAGTTTAGACATCCAACAAAGGATTTGCCCCTAGAGCAATGTTTTCAAATAGAAATTTCTACACTGTTGGAAACGTTCTCTTCTACAGACGTAGTACAGTCCAGCTTAATAAAAATTACATGTGACCACTGGGCCAGAAATGTGACCTCAAGCAACAGAGAACTGAAATTGAGATAAATAAGTCAACCTGTTGGCATTTTAAAATCCTGAGTGAAGGTCTATAAAGTTATGTTCTTTTATACTTTTCAGCAGTTATTTTTTTTTCATAGCAGAATCTGATTTTAGCTTAAAGTACTAAATAAAATTCCAGCTTTAGACAAAATATATAAAAGTGATTTGGAAAAACATACCAAGTGACTTCAGTTTTCTTCTAAGTGCTTTTTAAAATATAAATTAAGGAATAAAAACATAAGGAGAGTCTAATGAATGCCAATGTATCCACCAGAACAGTTGTGAAATAAAACATTACCGATAGTAAATCCACCAGGCACTTCTCCCTCAGCAAGACTATTTATAAAAAGACAGAAAACATGCATAATAGAACCATGGTTTCAGGCTTCCTCACTTAATACATCTGGGGGATACTTAATGTGCAAACCTATGCGTATCACTGTCCTGGAGGCACTGCCAGCGCAGGGAGCCCTGGGTCTATTCACACCCACCCGTCTCCTCTTCTCCACAGTAGGACTCCACCAGCTCAACTTTTGTGGCATCCAATTTACACTTTTTTCTTTACCATTTTTAATGTCTACATGGGCACCCCTCCACAAGTAGCTTGGCTTCACCAAGTTCCAGATTATACCTAGACGCTATCGTGCAATATCCTTCAGGGACTTGCCTATTTTATTTTTTCTGGCTCCACACCAAGTTGAGTCTGACTTGCTCACCGCTGGGCCTGCCGAAGTCTGTTTTATGACCTGACCGGCCCGTAATTGACATTTCTTCTTCCCATGGACACCAAGGTTGATCCCAGCTGCTTGGTATTGCAGCAGACCTTGTGCACGTCCTCGTGTGTAAATGTATGAGAGTTTATCTAGGGCAGTGGCTTTCAAACTTTTTTTTTTTTTTTACCATGACTCATACTAAGGAATGACGTTTTACATCATTCCGCACATCTGTGTGTGTATATGTGTGTATGTGTTTGTGAAGCTGGGGTTGGGGGTCACGACAGCAGCTCTGCTGAGACCTGAGATACAGTCTGACATTTGCCGGTCGGTGCTGTTCGTGTTTTACAAATTCTGGTCTCTATACACTTAAATGATCTCACGACTCATAAAACGAAGCTGGGCGTTGAAAGCATCATTCCAGAAGATGAATATTTAGCCATGGGACTCCTGGCCCAGGAAGGAGCTGGCAGAGCCCATCAACATTTCCCGGGAGTTAACTTTTAAATAAACGGCCCCATCTCTGAGTATACAGATTCACCGTTACTTCATTTTAGAGCAAAGGCCATGAAGCATGAAGACATTCTATCTGCCTAGGGTTATTAAACAGCATTAATCACTTACCACGTGCTAGGTAAGCACTCACTGGTCCGAGCGAGCCGTGGATTACTACGTGCAGGACGGGGAGAGAAAAGGGGGGACTTGGAGGGGCCGAGACCTCAGGAAAAGCCCAGAAAGTCACAGAAGGGAAGGGTTCGAAGAGGATTCCTGGAAGGAGGAGGACCTAGGCTGGGTGTTTCTATTTTTAATTTTTACTGGTTTCCTAAGCCAGAAAAGTAACTCATTTACTAGGAAAAACATTTTCCGAAATGTCAGGAGCATGTATATTCGGTATGAAGCAAGAAGCCCCGCTGGCCCCTAAAGTTGGGTCCCAGGTTCCCGGCGTTGCTTACCCGCTGCCCCGACCCGACCTCCGGGTCCGCGCTTTCACTCGCAGGAGTGCGAGCGTCCGCGTCCGGGCGGCGCAGTCCCGCCGCCGCGTCCCAAGATGGATGCGCGCGCCGCCGAGCGGCCCGTCCCGCCCGCTCCGACGCTGCCCCGGCGCCCGGGCCTCGGCCGCTTCGGGCCCTGCCGGCTCGCGCACACTGGCCGCGCGCGAGCCCGCGGTGAGGCGCGGAGCAGGAGGAGGAGTAGGCCGGGCCGCCCCCCCGGCACCGCCAGCGGCACCTACCCCGCGGCGGAGCCGGCTCAGGCGAGGCCGGCCGGGCGCGTCCTCCGCGCAGCCATGACGGCCCGAGCGAGCGCCCCGGCCCGTCCGACCGTCCGTCCGTCGCGGAGAGGGAGGCCGGACGCCCCGACGCGCGCCTAAATCCAGGCCGGGGCGGGCCCGCGGCTGAATGACAAATGGCAGATGCCGCGGGCTCTGCCGCCCTCCGCAGCCCAGGGCGCCGCGCACAGGCGGAGCCGCGGAGGGAGGGAGCGCGCGGCCGCGGAGCGGAGCGGTGGGGAGCGGAGGGGAGCGGAGGGGAGCGGAGGGGAAGGGAGGGGAGGACGGGAGGGGCCCGGCGCCCAGGTGCGCGCGGCGCAGGTGGCGCCCTGCACCCGGGTCCCCGCCACGTTGAGCGCGTCTCCGAGTCGAGTCCTGGTCCTCGTGAGCAGCACGACGGCTGCGGGCCACGCGCTCCTCCCGCGCCCGAGCGGTCAGGGCCGCCCAGGGCCCAGCGGGGCCAGGCGGGCGGAAAGGCGCTGCCCAGGGGGACGCGTTCAGCCCACGACAGCCCCGGAGGGACGGGGCTGCCACCCGATAGCCTCTCGGGAAGGTTGGACAGAAGGGAGCCTGGGCTGGTGCTGTGTATTCTTCCGGTTAAAATGCTTGCGTGTTATTTGGGCATAAGGAGCGGAAGGCTTCCTTCACTGCTGGTCCTCCGATCCTCAAAAGGCCCGTGGACACGGCCTAGGACAGCGGCAAAAGGCACTCGGAGCCTCCCTGCGTGGTCCAGACTGGACAGTCTCGGGCTCTGAGATGAGATTAGCATCTCACATTTTCACTCACCTTCTCCTCGGCCTCGCGGTTGCACTGCTTCCAGTACTTCTGTCTTATTAGCAGCTAGAACATTCACAGTTGCTGTGACTTTATGCCGTCTTAATTCTGCATTTAAATTAATGTGATCGTCACCACGGGGAACCCTTTGCTGTGTCCCTTATTTTCATCTAGTACCCGATACACTGCCTTCTGTGCAAGCCATTCCCTACAGAGGGCCTGCACATTAAGGTAATGTTAGGCAGAATCTGCCTTTTCCCCTCCATATATAAATAAAAACTGAGCTGGGTAAAATATTTTGAATTCACATCTTCCTTCAAAACCTCAGAAGACAAGAACTCAACTGCTTCCCTGATGCCTGACCCGGGAGGCTTCTGTGGAGAGATCTGAACCCTCTGGGTGCTCTGCTAGGAGGTGGGATTTTGCCACGCGGCTGCCTGGAGAATTCTCATCATTAGTGCTCCTCAGCAGTGGCATTGTCTCCCCAGTGCAGAGAACCGTCATTCTCTGTGGGTCCCATTCTTGTTTTCTTCGTGGACTATTCCACTCTTCTTGGAGACCCGAGGCAGCTTCAAGTTTAGGTCTTAGTTGTGCTGCTGTCTGCTTTTTTGCGAACTGAAGGTCGTAGGACAAGGCAGCAGGAGGGAGGACGACTGTGTCTGGGCCTCGGGGACAGCCTGCCTCTGCATCCTAGCGCCGTGCCTGCCACAGCTCGGTTCCCAGAAGGTGGCACAATGGCCTCTCAGGGCAAGAAGCAGCAGTCGCTCCTAATATTTCACAGGACGCCACCAACTCCCTCCTAAGTGCGGGCAGACTGGGAGAACCGTCAGGGTTCGGCCTGATCGTCCTTTCCCTCAACGGGTCTTGCAGGGAGGGAGGAGGCTTAGCCTGGATACTGGCTCTACATTGACATCCTCTTTGTCGTCACTTCTCCAATTTTACATTATAAGGTTATATTTTGCCTTCTTTGGTTATAGTAGATGTTTTATTTTTTCCTGTTGTTTTCTCTTGGGTGGCTTAGGAATTTAATTTTAACTTTTCTTTTTTTTGTTTCTTTGTGCCATGCTTACCCGGAGACGGTCCGCCCCTCTCACAGGAATGAATTACATGAAAAGCCTCCGCTTGTCTCTTCCACAGCGCTCTTTTCGGACAGGAATATGTTGCCATGGTGGCTGTGACGCCCTCTCGTCCCCTAAGCCTTCCCTCATCAACATATGCCCTGGCATAATGACGTGCTCCCGCGAGGGCCACAAACCCCCATCATACTGCCAACACTGAGGACGGGGACTATGATAAAGTGACAAGGACACTCTTTTGGTGAGGAACAGACGTTGTAGAGCTCATGCCAAAGGCTGCCATGTTGGAATTCAGGGCAGTGTTGTCAACCCTGTATGATTTCCAAGAGAAGTATGACTCTTAATGCTTTCACATGAAATCTGCTAATTTTGGAAACAACACAGAGGCCAGATGAAATCTCTCTCAAGCCCAAACTGGCCCTAAGGGTTGACAGTGTGGTTTCCGTTACAGAAAGAACCACTCAGGAGAAATTCTGTAACCATTCTTTTAATCTTCTAAGTATTTTTGAAGTATGGTTTTGTTCCACACACTGGTCAATGACTCCTGACAATTTCTTTACCAAATACAGAGCAAGAAGATTGATTCTGACACATTTACAATTTGATAAAAGGTGTTAGGAACCCACACTATTGGGGACAGTTTTCACTAAGGGTAACAGCTATTATGGGTCTAAAATGTATACCAGGTGGCCAGGCAATTGATATAGGTCATGAAAAGATTAATAAAATACTGAGGGAAAGTATTTTTTCAGTTGAGGCAGAAGAGACATTTGATAAAAATCTAAAATTCACTTTTGAAAACAAAAAACTAGAACAGAATGAGACTTGCTCGGTCTGCTCATGGGTGTATTTGTTTCCTATAACTGCCATCATAAATTACCACAAATTGGTGGCTTGAAACAAGAAATTTATTTTCTCACACTCCTTAGAGGGAAGTCTGAAAGCAAGACATAGTATTAGCAAAGGGCGTGTGCGCCCTCTGGTGGCTATGAGCAGAATCTTTTCTCAGCTTTTGGTGGCTATCAGCTTCCTGGACTTCCTAGCTTCCTTGGTTTGTGGGGACGCCTTTCCAGTCTCGGCCTCCACCTGCACATCACCTTCCTCTCTCATGTCATGTTTTCTCCTCTGTGTGTGTCTGTCTTGTAAGGATACCTGTCATTTTATTTAGGACCCACCTGAATAACAGGGTGATTTCATTTCACTATCCTGAAATTAATTACATCTGCAAAGACCTTCTAACTTTTTCTTTTTTCTTTTTCAAATAAAGTAACAGTCACAGGTTTCAGGGATTAGGATATAGACCTACCCTTTGCGAGGCCATCTTCCAATCCTCCGTAGCAGGTAAAATGCATGTTGGCTTTGTGGTAGAAATTGCCAGGCTGATTCTAAACTTTATACAGAAATAAGAAGAACCTAGAGGAAAAAATATAAGCACAGAAAAGAAAAACAAGGGGCCAGGGATTTAGCTCAGTGGTGCCACTGCCTGCCTCACAAGCACAAGGTCCTGAGTTCGATCCCTGGTACCAAAAAAAAAAAAAGAAAAAAGAGAAAAACAAAGTTGGAAGGCTTTTGCTACCTGATTTTAACGCGTATGATAAAGCTAGAACAATTAAGACAGTATCATACTGCCATAAGAGAAAAAAATGAAACAATATATTATGTCCACAAATAGACCCGCCACACATACGATGTACTGATTATTCACAGAAGTGCAATATAATTCAGCTGGGAAGGGAAATAATGGTGTGGAAACTGGGTGCTTCTATGGGGGGGACAACAAACTTCTACCTGCTTTGCATATGATACATGAAAATTACAACAGATTAGCTCACAGACCCAAAGAACAAAACAAGAAATATAAAACTTCTAGATTTGTCTATTCAATACGATAGCCTTTGGTCAAGTGTGGCTACTGGGTACTTGGGACTGTGGCTAGTCCACACTGAAATGTGGTACAAGTTAAAAACATGCTCTGGCTTTCAGAGGCTCAGGATAAAGAAAAAGAATGTAAAATATCTCATTCATAACTTTATGTTGACTATATGTTGAAACGATTATACATGGTTTAAATTAACAGACGCCCTTTCTACTTGAGTAGAAAATTTTAAACTACACATGATATTTCCATTTGACAATACCCATCTGGAAGAAAACTTAGCAATAACCAAAGATCAACTGGTAGCAGACACAAAGCAATGATCATAAGAGCATAAATTAGTAACTGTATTCACTTGAAATAAAACCTGCCATTCTTCAGAGATGACCATTAAGGAAATAATTCAAGCCACACACTGAGAGAAATTATTCACAATATATCTGACACAGGACTTGTATCAGAATATTCTAAAAACTCACACAATTCTGTAAGATAAACAATGCAATTAAAAAAACAGAGACTTTTGTTTTCATTTTTTCATTTTCTCATATTAACTCCATTCCCTTCTTTCCTTTCCCCTAGCCCTCCCACTTCCTTCCCCTTTGCCCCTTTTCTTCCTATTTCACATGACCTATTATACATTTTAGTCCTTATTTACACTTTCAGTTTCTCACACCAGAAAAACTATTCGGTATTTACACATGTGTGTCCTATTTATTTCACTTACAGGGAGGGGTGGAGGAGTTGAAGTGAGGGCAGGGGAATGGGGAAAAAATAAGAACCAAGAGAGATTATGTAAAGGTACAAATTTCCAATGATGAATGTCATCATATTTTATACCTAAAACATACCAATAAAATTAATTTTTTAAAAAACAGCCATAACACTTCAAAAGAACTTCCCTAAAGAATTTATATGGATGTCCAACAAACACATAAATAACATTCAACCTCATTTCTTTAATGACTTATGCAAATTAAAACAACAAAATACTAATACTCATTCACTTGTATACCTAAAATTGAAAGACTGACACATTAAGAGTTGACAACAATGTGGAAAAACTGGAACTCTCACTCCTGAAGGGAAGATAAAT